CAAGCCGCTTCGGCGAGTGCAATTTCAGCTTTTTCAAAAACTCACAAGTGCAAATTAATTCCAAATTGAATGACTAAAACCGTATGATTACTTATTAATAATATAAACATAAAGAAATTTGCGTGGAGGAAGTGCCGGAAGACCTTTCTTGAAGCCATTTTTTCTCATTCGGGAAAACTTTTTTCAAAGTTTCTGCACAAAATTTTCCTCATCATTTTACGTAATATAATTGCCTTCGAAAATTTCCTATAGTCTTTCAGCCAATCATAATCCAGAATTACGATGTGTAATTTGCACTGGTGTTACACTTTTTGCACTTGTGTTACACTTGAACTGCACTGCTCTCAGACAATCAGAATCGAGTGATTTTTTTCATGTATATTATTAAAGTTAGAATTCTACTGAAACAATTAGATAATTCGCTCTCGATCTCTATGAGGTTCGTAATATGAAGTTCATAAATCTCGAGTTCATAATCTAATTGTTTAATATTATTATACCGTATGTGATCACTTACTACCACTAAGCGCGCTGTCATTGGTCAATCTAGCAGGCCGTATTCTACTGATGTGCGGCCCGTTAAAATCTAAAGCTGTTCTTGTTGTTAAAATGTTTCGTGAATTATCGCCGAGTGTTAATTCTTAACTTTTTTTTTTATAGCATGCAAAGTAAAAGTTTCAAACTTTCTCTTAGTTTAAATTATGTATTAAAACGTGCTAACAACTTAATGACTATTTCATATTGACCCGTTAGATACTTTCTACGCGCGTCAGAAAATTGAAACCGTAATCGTTCCCGAACCCGTCAGACACACAGTAGAGATATAATAACTATCTTACCAACCTCGTCTTCCCTGTCCCTACTGTAAGTTACGAATCTTCGTTTTTTCTCCTTCAATAAATCGAAGGGGAAAAATCCCGGTCCGCAACTTACAGTGCGGACCAAAAAACTTAGTTAGTAAGAGGTATAAACGTCGTTTTACTTACTTTTTCTACTTCAGGCGCAACATTAATTAACGTTACGATAATTAGGTTCATCGTGAGGCATGCCTGAACATTAGCAAAGTAAACTGTAACAGTGCAGCGAGGTAACATGCCGAGAGCCAGAGAGTGAATTCTTACTAAATGAATACTTAAATAGTCCTAGCACCGAAAAATCGAGAGATTACAGACGACCCCTGGAAATCAGTGAGTGCTTCCCAAAACGTACAGAATGCAGATATATTTGCTAAACTCCGAACTGCATATATTTTGCTATTTCAGTGAAAACAACAGATGAGCAACACAACCACACTCGACTAGAATCAGAATGAAACTTACCTTTGCTTTCGAACTCTCAGAGTTTGGAGCAGACTGCCAGTTGCGTGCTAATACAGTGGAACCCCGCTATTTCGAGCCGAAATAAATGAACTCGCAGGGGAAGCAAAAAATAGATCGAAATAGCGGGAGTTCGAAATAGCCGATAGTAAATGAATAGTGAAGGGCAAAGCCAAAGAAAATGTTTTGAGTTCGAAGTAACGAGGAACTGGAAACAACTGTGTTTGAATTAGTGATGTTCACTTGAACTGTCTATGCATATCCACTGAAGCACTTTTTTGGTATAATAATGTGGTCTGCGACTACTGGGCGAAGATTTAGAGTTCAGTTGTTTTCAAAAGAACGTTAACCATCCGTTTCGGTTCAAAACTTGCTGAAAGGGTTGTAGAGTTGCAAAAGAAAGCCGACTTCTCGAGGGTTCTCTCCTTTCTCCGGTTGAGGTAAACACTATATATTAGAATTTTCCTACTGTTTCAGTGCATGTCCGGGTACTTGGCTTTGTGATAGATCCGTTGATTCGTTGATTTTTGCCAAGTACAAGCCATGGGAGAAAACGTCCCGAAAGAGCCCGTGTTGAAAATCTATGGTAAGTTAAAATGAAATCTCGAATGAGCGTCTTTTGAAATGAAAACTATCTTCCTTGATCGGCATGATCATAAAAGTGCATAATTTGTGTTCAGAAGTTATTTCTAGATGTCGTTGCATCTAGTATATTTAACTCTCTCTCTCTTTTTCCTCTCCTCCTCTCAGCTTTGCCTCAACCTCTGCGAATGCAAGTCCAATCCTTACCCCCCTCCCCCTCTCCCAGCACTTCGGTGGTCTTGATGGCCTCACTAGAGCACTCACGGAGTGAATCACGATGTGCACTGCTTTTCACTAACCTTGTTACCAGGGTCGAACGAGAACGAGGTTGCTCTTTTTGGCATTACATTTGCCACTCGATCAGAAACACTGGTTTCAAATTCAAGACCAACATTAAGTGTCTGTTTTGCAATTACGTGGAAAATTACCAAGGGTGTACTTAATTCAGAGCATCTTAAGGAACAATGACCGGCACATCGAAATGGTCGTCAACAGTGATGAAACAGGGAGCTTGAAAATGCCCAGGAAAGGGTTTGATGAAAAAAAAAACCGATAGTTCATTACGGCGTTATAACTCCTCGGACATTGCTTGGTCGACCTCTTCAAAGATCTTCAAAAGAATAACGTAAAATAACCAAATTCTGTTATTTTAGAGAACATAAACTCCAACTGCGTATTACTCGTATTAAATTTCAGTTGAATTTGAACGCTCTCGAGCTAGTTCTTGACCAGAAGATGCAGTGAATAGATCTAGATAACTTCACGATCCGTAAGTAAAATAATCTTCCACAATACGTCGCGAATCCAATATGGCCCATAAGGCACAAGGACAGCCACTTTTTGTAACATTTAACCCTGTACTAACAGCACTGTACCCCCGGGGAGGGAAGGGGGGGGGCTCCCATATGAAAAGGTCGTGGATGCTCGTTGGACAATTTAAATTAGACCCCTAAAGGAGAACAATCTGCGCGTGTTTCGAGCTCTAGATACTGCTTGAGACGGAATAGGCTTGATTACCAGCCGCTGTTCGGGATAGGATCGATCTCGGGCTATTAGACCGGACTCGAGAGACCGGCGAAAATCGAGCCCAAAAACCGAAATGAGAGCTT